CCAACCTTCCACAAAAATCCTCCACAAAATAACTCAAAATATAAGAACATTCCTTTAAAACATTTTGAAACTATTACAGTTTACCTCAGAAAGACAGTGACAAGACATAATATACAAATACAGTGAAAAATGGACAAGATTCTCTAATTAGACCAATATCTACAGGGTACAGAGCTAATCCTCAAATCTCTATTTCACATCTAATGTAGAGTGAGTGACAAAGGAACAGCTCAAAATCACAGGCACACCCTGGAATACATCCATCCAAAGTAAATCAACAAGAATTAAATAGAATAGCATGCTCTAGCAATGTCCTTGGTATATGCCCTGTCCTCCTGAGGGGTACTATTGTAATAGGCAACTGGAGGAAAGCAAGTTTAGGGGATCCAACTGCTCTAGTTAAACTGCCATTGAAGAAGGGTGAATAATTTCTCCCGCATTTCTGCTGCTGAATAGCCAGAACCAGAAAACAAATCCTACATTTAGAAGGTTAGGAATTTTTTTTTCTTAAAAATAAATATAGAGAGATTAACCCACTGGAGACTGTCATTTAATGCATCCACAAACTAGTCTGAATTGATTTAATAGCTGTCTTTTAGTATTAGCTGCATAAACAGAACACACAGTACAAAAATATTAATTAAAAGCAAATCTGAAAAGGCTCAGAGTTTCAACACAAAGTAACCAGGCAAGCTGTCATTTATTGCTTACTAGTTACTTCAACTTTTGGTTTATAAATTAGATGAGTAACATATAAAGTACTGAGCCTTTCTAAACTTCCTGAGGCCTGCCATTCTGTCATATTACTATGACATCTGCCAGAGGCATTCTTTCAGACCTACGTTTCAATATGCTCGTCACAGAGGCAGACAAAGTTCCTGCTCCCAAAGAACTTGAGACGATTTGAAATTCTGTAAGAACAGACTCTTACAAACACTGATTTGTTATTTGGTTATCTAACCAAACATATCCACAGAGAATGGTCAGTTCCCATTTTATCTAATTCTGCTTTCTTTGTTAGGAAACAAAGTTATCCATTAGCTATCCATGGCATTTTATGTGATTGGGTGAAATAAAAATCAAGGCATTTTGTTGCACTGTAAACTACACATATGGCATGTAATTCCTATTCTTGTAATAAGAAAGCATGTGCAGTAATAAAGCCAAAGTGCTTCTAAAATTTTCTGTTCTAAAGTATGCAGAAACACAATGACGTCGGGGAGTTGCTCTGTGAAGCTTTCACGTGCCTATCCAGTAATCTCAAATAAACATCCATTGTGCTTGCACAAATCAGCTCTACAAAAATATGTGCATAAAAATATGTCCAGTGTATTAATTGTGAAAATCAAAATCTAAGAGGTTTCTCCTGTGAAATCATTCCTTTCCCTGGGCTTTGGGTGGCACCTGAGTAGCAAAGGCAAAAGGTAAGATGCAAGATGAGAGTCTGAGGGAGGCTGGGAAAGCAGTAAGTGTGGGAAGTGCTTTAATTTACATCTTGAGCCATGTAAGTCAGTAACTGAGGTGAAAACTGAACCCTTCTTCACAGCATTGCATTAACAAACATCTACTCAGCCCACTCCTAGTTCTGAAACTCTGGACCTGACTGTTCTGCAGCTCTGTACCTTGTGTCATTACACAGAATTGTACGTAATCCCACACATTTGAGTTTGATTGCATGTAACAGTGAGGTTGATTAGGAGACTGTAACCAACTTCACATGACAGAAGTCTTCACTCACTCGGCCCACTGTCTTTAAAAGTGCCTGCAACCCAAACCAGCAAACTCTACAGTATTAGTATTTAAATTCTTTAACTATAGGTGTCAAAAATTTGAGAAATTTACATTCCTTTCTAAAGGAAACTTTGAAAGAACATCTCTACTTCAAGTTCCCTGTAATTCTTCCACAGGGTACCACACCAAAGAATTCCTAACTTTTTCTAATATGACACATAGCAAGCTCAAGCTTAAAGAATTGGTATTTCATTTTGTCTCTTTGCATAGGAGAAATAGAAGCGCTTGAGGTAGACATCTAATATACTTGAGGTAACGTAGAGTTTCAAACACAGTGAAACAGCAATCATCAAACGTCATGGGTTATTCATTCGAAATAGTTTACATGCATAAAAAGACTTACCTCAAGGTAAGGGTCAACTGTTGCTCCTTTGACTTCACCAAGTCCCCTACTCTAAAAGTTGTACATCCCAGGAAGCTTCGCTATGAAACAAAGTGGAAAGAAAAGACATCATCTCCATTAATTTTTCAAGTTGTAATTGCTCCTTTTCAGTCCCATGCACGGAAAACTTTCTTAGGTAGCTAGCAAAATGTTACTTTGCAACATACTGCTTTCCCTACAGAAAGTTTTCGTGCATGTGACATGATTATTAATAATCTGTTGAACTCTAGTTTTATGAGCAGGAACCTTTCTCATTAAGAACGAATAGCCTGATAACCTGACAAAATAACAGGCTGTAAAATGTACAGCTGCAGGAAAAATTCCATTTAGTATAAGTATTTGCATTTTGGGTCTTTTTCTTTACTAAGTGATTTCTGCGTTACAAGAAACGTTAAACCTTCAGTGTTTTACTAGTGTTATTCCTCCTATCAAGCCCTTAGGCACTACTGGCTTTGTATTCCAAACATGAATATATTTGCTTGAAGAAGCTATTTTTATGCGAGTTCAGTACAGGTTAATAGAAATGTTATATTCCTCTAGAGTGGAGCAGCGCTTGTAAGTATGCCTTTATCTCTACTGTAAGGTGGACCCATTCATTGAGAAACGTGCTAATTCAATAGAATTTCTAAACCTAAGTTAACCTAAAACACTATATCTTTTCTTTAAACCAAAATCAGCTCCATGCATCATCAAGAAAATACTGCAAAAAGGAAAACATATTCATCTTCTTTTGCTTTAGATTATTTTTCACCTAATCCTCCTCACACCTCTACTGGATATTGGTAAAACCTCACTTAGTTAACAATATTCCTCTTACCCTGGGAACAGTGGGAAAGAAAAAAAAACAGTTTACAGCCATCTTCTATATATTTATCTTTTAAATGTACAACTTGGTATGACTTGTTATGAATCAATTATAATAAGATGAAAAGATTATGTTGATTTCTTTTGCAAGAAAATAAGAAATACAAAAGTTGGTGTTTATTACACTATACTAGTTTTACTGTACTATTGGAACACTAATCAAAATAAAGCTCCACAGTAAATTCAGTATGTTCTTAGATGGCCTAATTCAAGAAGAATCAAGTTTTTACTCTGAACCACCGCAGACTGCATGCAGACAACTGCTACCTTTGGGGAAAGGGAAGAGAAGATGAGCATAAGAGCCTTTGGTGAAAACTGTACCCCGCCTTCTCGCAGGAAGGTCAGCTAGATGTTGACCAGTCAAATGTTGACAATAAAGCTCTACAATAAGATAGTTTTTCTAGTCTATAAAACATACAGTTCAAAGTACAATCCTTGATTTAGGTAAGCCATAACACTGGTCTCCAAGCTGGTAAATTAAGCCATTGGTTATGGCTCGCTCCAAAGAGTGACACAGGCTGAAAGCCAGGAAATCATTCCTTTCCCTGGGCTTTGGGTGGCACCTGAGCAGCAAAGGCAAAAGGTAAGATGCAAGATGAGAGTCTGAGGGAGGCTGGGAAAGCAGCAAGTGTGGGAAGTGCTGAATAGAAAATAAGAAAATAAGAAGGAAAAAAAGGCTTACAGGAAACAGAAAAACAGCATACCCATGAGCAAAGAGCACAAGTTAGTTTTTGCTGCCAAAATGAAATACATCCTTCTACAAAAAAGATACCCAGTGGGACTCACACGGTAGTACAGCCTCACTAGAACAAGTACAGTCCATCCTCCGCTACACCAGTCAGCGCAACAGCGGCTTTGTTTTCACTAAAACTCCATGGTGACATAGCTAGCTCATGTTAGTTATCTTGTTAAAGAGCACCCTTCTTTACATAGTGAGAATACATTCTGCAGCACAGCTTGTCTTCTAGCAGCCTTTATTCTGGCATTTCATGGTGTTTGAGTACTTCTGTTTGCAACCTCACCATTTGGAAAGAGGGAGAGTATGGACATGTGGAGCAAAACCGACACAGGTTTGGTCTCTCGGGGCTTCCACTTGCTCTACAACAGAGCTATAAACTCATTTAAGAACACTAAGTAAGAAGTAATTCCTCATATGATGATTGTTAGCAGCAATAACACTGTTCTTCCATACAGAAGCTTTGGTCACTGTATCCACCAATCACCTCTGAGCGTTAGACTAGTTCTCCAGTGTCACAAGATTAAAGCTGTATAGTTTTATAGGTTTAAAGAAATCAATTTGTCTGCTCCATAGTCTTAAGCTTATTTGGAATAAAATTTTGTGTGCCTGACATAATAACGCAATTAGAAATTATCTGCAAAATTAAACAAAATTGTCAACAATCCCATGACCAAAATAATGAGAGTTATGCTAGTATTCAAGGGATGTAATTTGAAACGATGCTGGAGATTACTTTTTCTGAACTGATTTTGATACAAATTTTCTACCCTGGGCTGAACTGGCAGCCTACAAACTTTGCACATGTGACTTACAGTCTAATTTTCAAAGCTCTCTAACAGAACGGCTGATGTAATGCTAATCACAGAGCAACTTTTCTCTGTAATTTTGCAAGTGAAGTACTTAGGATCACAAATCTTAAGATATGAGCCTTGAATACTTTGATGAATAATCTTACCTAGCAAAAGAAAAAGTTTCTTCAACAGCTGTATGAAAAGTTTGAAATACATTATTGCACTAAGATTTAATTTACTGCCAAGCTATAGATTTTTCAAACACTAGCTGAAGTGTTGGAAACCATGCCAAGGAAGCCCCAGTAATACTGGAAAGTCAACGCCTTAGAAAAAAAATTTTTAAATTTTGGGTCTGATGTCCACCCCAGATCACTTGGTCTTTATTTAGCTACAGGCACAATCAGATATGAGCATCTAATAGCAGACCTCCTCTCATTCAGGTTGATAAAAGTGTCTCCAGGCAGAACTGGTTAAGTTGCTAGCTAGGACTACTACATCTATTTCACCGGCTTAACTAAACTTGGTTATATAGCACTGCGTAATATGCAATAATAAAAATAATAGGCATCATTATTATTCAGTGATTATTTTCCCTTCCAAATTTTGAGCTCATTTTTTTCTCCCACCTCAAAAAGAATGTCTATCTGCAAATTCCAAAAGACACCGACTCCACTTCAGTAGTCTTCAGTATTTTGTCATCTATTGACCTCTGACTCTGAAGCAGTCCACGGAGCTGTTAAAAGCCACTTCTCAAGAGACTTCAGAATTCAATAGCCTAAGTATAGCCTGGAGGCTTTTATACAGTTCTAGCAGGACTAGTCTTTCCCATCCCCAGGAGGCCTCCATATTACCTGGGAGTAGCTAGCCTTCCCAGGAGCAACATCAATTCCTTTGCCAAAAGCAATCCAGACCTACACAGAAGAAAACGCGTGCTTCGTATATCACCAGTGTAATCTCTTAATCAGAACCCAACAGAACTGTGCATGAGCACAGCTGGATGGCATGAGCACAAGTCTAGATGGCTGTGCTTGCCTCAGGATACTTGCACTTGAAAAGGATTTTCAAGAAATAAGTGCATGGGATGTCATCAGTCACCGAGTCCACTACTCCTGCCATGATTCTTTATTCATTCAACTCAACCCCAGCTATTAAAAAAAAAAAAAAGCCTGTCAGCTTTAATATTTTAGCAGTTAGGCAGAATACCATTTCTCTTTGTTGGGCGTCTGTCTCTGCTGATGAAGTGAAAGAAAAAACATTAATGAACAAAAATTGCTTACTCCAACATCTGCTCTTGGCTCCTTGTGATCAGGTAGGACACTGGTACGGACCTGAAAGGAAAAAAAGCAAGCAAAACATCACTCTCTGTTTTTCCTTTCCAATAACAATAAGAGAACTGCTCGTGCATTTTTTTTCTCCTGATACTTTGCACAATTTAGAATCAATTTTAAAGTGATTCATACGTGTGTGTGTGTGCGTGTGCGCACACATATGTGTGTGTGTAATTTCAAAATAATCAGTTAATAATTTAAGCTCAACATCTTCCAGTTTCTCTGGAGAAGGAATGAAGTCTTGGTTCACCATTACCCCATTTATCATCCTGCACTTTCCTGATTCTCTGTGAGAGGCCAGGCTGTGCTCAGTTGTTTTTTTCCTTAAAATCAGACTCTTTGGCTATAACATGCTTGCCAGGCTTCCTCCTCTGGAACCAATATTTTCAATAATGCAAACAAGTAGCCTTAAGCAAGAGAGGATTATATTGTAAAATTACCTATACACATGCTCGCATTTCTTCTGTCAAACTGTTTTAAGAAGACATCTTTAGTTAAAGTGGTGGAGTTTAGTTGTACACAGAAATCTTTACATTGATGTTCACTATACAAATACACAGCTAAATTGCTTGGCCGTTTAACCTACTCTCATGTAAACGCTTAGCATGAGATACATGTTCTTTTCCAGCTCCAGGAAGACAGACATTTATCTCTCCTCCTCTTTTTTTCCTCCCCCTCTCTCTGGGTCTCACTTCTTTCAGCATTCTTGTAGCATCAGTGGAGCTGCTGTAAAGAAAGTAGTGCTTTCCCTATAACCATTTCTTTAGTTTCTAGAGTGTCCACTTTGTCAATGAAAGTATACAGCAGAATAAAAAGGAAGTATTCCTCCAAATAGGTACGTGCCCTGGTGGGCTGGTCTGCAACAGATAACCTGATCCCCAGTCCCATTCCTGCATGACCCCATCTCCTCTCACTACTTCCTGAGCATCTTGAAGGGGATGGACACTTGCAGACACTCACAGAAGGAAAAGCCTCTGCGTTCTCCCACACCTGGGACTTCCAGATGTCCCTGCACTTTCTACAAATGAAGCTGCCTTAGACACATAACTCCCTTCATTTCACAAGAAAGAGGGACAATCTAGCTTCCCCTTATTACTATATTTCCCCAAATACAGTACAGGTTTTATATATATATATATATACACATATATATATGTGTGTATATACAAGTGTTTACATAATTTTATTTTGTTACATGTTGACTGAGAATACAATATTGATTAAACAATAAAAGTGAGATTGAAAAGCCTAAGAAAACCTCTGTAACACCCCTCTCACATGGTCTGCTTCAGCCAAGACAGCCCACAAGGTTAGCTTGCTGGTTCAAGGATGCCCTATTCAGCCACACACAAGGAAGGCATCTACTGAGCATTCACATCTGGCTGCTTACCTAGCCTAAATGAGAGAGAGCCATTTACAGCAAGGTTCCCCAAGGACAAATTTTGGGCTTGATTTCAAAGACAGACTCAAACTCACTTTGTAGCAAATCCATCAAGAAAAGACCCACTTTGTCCTATGCCCTCAACTGTCTCTTCTCAATTCTTTTATTCCAAATCCAACTTACTCTACATAAAAAAAAACCCTGTCCTTTAAAACAAAAATAAAGTTCCTGGTTTGTTTGTCATTCTAAATACGACAGGCTGTTGGAAGGAGCCTTCCAACAAACTGCTGCAGAGATATGATAGATGATAGAACCAGAGCTTTGCTCAGACAGTTCGTGCCCCTTCATTTTCCATAGGGAGAACAATCTACCCCCCCCCCTCCATCCCCTGCAAAAGCCTGAAGACAGTAAAGAAATGCTATAATTAATGAGGGCCAGTATACTTCAACAATCTGTAAGAAGCCTTATTTAGATGTAATTTTATTCTCAGATTTTTTTGCACTAACATAACATTAGCAATTCTAAGGCACTTGGCTTTTCCCCATGAGTACTAACTCTTCAAAACAAAATCCGTATTTCAAATTTACCTATAAACAGCTCAAGTCACAATTGAAAATAGATTACTGATGTTTCCTTGTTGGTGATACCTGTCTTACCCTCCTGAGGACTGGGGGGGGAGGGGAGAGGGGGTGAGAGGGGGAAATAAGAAACAGATCTACTGTAAGTTAAAAGAAATGAAGGTGTGTGGGGTCCGTGCCGGGGGTGGGGGGGAACTATCTCTGCTTAAGGAGATAGAAATCAGTGCAATGTGCTAGCCTAAAATAGCTAACATTGGGCCCTACACAGAAGGGAATTCTCTGAGCATTACCCTCACTTCTCTGTGCACATGCATGCACGCATGTGTACACACGCGCACGCACGCTTCAAACACACAGCCATCATTATGGTGCCTAACATGAGGTGCAGTCTGGTCTCTCTCATGTTATATATTGATTGAGTTCCCAAATACAAATTGTCAGAATACTACAGGTAACAGAGTGCACATGGGCTCCCGCGCGAACCTTCACAAAGAGGGGGTGCAAGGAAAAAACTAATCCAGAAGAAAAGCTCTAGTCTCAAACCACAGAGTAAAACTGAAAAAGGAACAAAGAAACAGAGCGTTCTGAAGAGTAAATGTCCTCCCAGTACATTACTGACTAAACAAACTGCTGTACTGTTTTGAAACGTTGTCATAAACCAACATTTCCCTAATGCCCCCAACAGTATCCTAAAACTACAAAATCTAAACACAAACAAAAAAGGCAGATTTTAAATCTCAAACATCCATTGCTGTCTTAGAATTTTATTTTTCTCATTATGTACTTTAGGATTTTTCACTAAAAAGTAAACCTCTGAATAATAAGTTTATTTAGGACTGGAGTGAGACTGAACTTCCCTGGAAAAAAACGTATGTTACACTCTCAACTTCCGAGACAAAAGATGTACGGAGAGAGCAGAAAAAAAGTAAGCAAGAAGTACAGCTTGCAAGCTAGGCCAAGTGCAAAATATTTACAACGAACATTCATCCTAGTGAACTAGCGTTTATAATATAGTACAGCCATTTTGCACACATTGCCATTTGTAACACCAGAACAAACACAAGTGCACAAGAGTGAATGCTGATTGTGCATTTCCATTTCTTTAAATCACATACAGAACCATAAGGGAAAAGAGAGAGAGAGAGAGAGAGAGAAAGAGAGAGAGAGAGAGCATGAGCATGCAAGTACGAACAAGTAAGTATCCATCCTTATACTGTTCTAGTGCATTTATCACAGATATATCTAAATGTCAAATTTCTCTAGGTATAAATGCTAAATTCAGCTTTAATTAACTGTCCTTTAGTATAATGCAGCTTTATACGATGAAGAACAACATTTCTTTTGGTCGTTTATGGCAGCCTGTGTCACATCCACACGCTGCCAGCGTTCAGAAGAGCGAATCGTTATCATTACTGAACCTTCTCTGGTACGAGAAAAGTGTATCGTTACAAAAGAAAAAAAACCTTTTTCTCCACATTCCTTTTAACATCTCACTGGTAATTAATCCACTAGAAAAATCTCACTTCTTATTTCAGTGTTTTGCATCTGATAGTTAAAGCCTTTGCTCTTCAGTTTATGACCGAAGGCCACATTTGCAAGTCACTTACATTCTGCAAACACGTAACGCTAGAGCCCTTTCTCAGTTACTCCAGATTTACCTCCTCGTATCACCACCAGCTTCCAGCAGGTTCACAGCACTTGTTGGCTGTTGAAGCGCTCTGTTCAGTTACCACTGTTACGTCCTCCAGCCATCTCACAATAACTAGGTATTTACCACACCAGGCAAAGCATAGGATAAGAGAGACTACCCAAAGTGCTCATTGACTTACGCTCTTTAAAGCCAGCACCTTCTAGGAAGGCGCTCACAACTTTACTCCCTCAGTGCAGCTTTGGCAGCGCTATAAGAAAGCGACATGTGCAGGTCATTTCACTCACGCTACACCTGGAGGCGCTCCGAGACAGTGACTATCTGCACCAGTCTTGCCCTCACAGCCCCTTTTGCACAGAAGGCAGGCACCAAACTCTGCGGACACAACCCCACTCCACAGAAGGCTCATATGGACACTTGGTCACCGTCTTCTCCACCACTGACAGGCCAGTCCCACTGCACAACCCTTTAGTCAGGGAGTAACTATGTTTCTTCAAAATTATTCAGTCATAGAAGCAGGAGCCTCATGCACGTGTGCTGGAAGAGCTGGAACTGGTACTTCGATTCTGCAGCAATACTCACCAGCTTTTATATGACAGATCCCATTCCAGCACCCATTGCAAATTTATTTGTAAAAGATGTTGATGAGGGACAGCACGTTTACCAATTATCTCCCTTCATCAAATAGATTAGCAATTTGCTAAAAGTTCAATCAACACAATGAAGTCAGGAAAGGAAAAAACTTCATCAGTCCCTTGTCAGACACCTGTTCATGGGACTGAGGACATGACGCTACGACAATCGCTTTCCAACCTTTATTGCACAATTATTCCTAAGAGTCCAAGTAAACTAAAAAAGTAATTCCTTCCTCAGTAGGCATATCTACAGATCCAAAGCAACTACAATGCCAAAGGAAATGCTGCTCTCCAGAGATACTAACAAATATTAAAACTGGACAAATTTGAAAACAAGTAAAGCGAAAGTGAATGTTATCCACTATACTGCCATGCTTTTGTAGTGGTACACTTTCCTTACTATTTATGTTTCCAAATAATTGCCTGGTACCATGTTAAAATTTCAGATCTTTATTTACCAGAACGGGCTGAGCAGAAGGGCAGGAGTATCTGCATACAGTTGGATACTTTTTATAGGCGTTATTAAGGGACTAGATAGTGACTCTTGCAGAAACATTCATCTCTGCAGCAGTGAGACTACCTACTACTTCCAGGCACAATTTACAAGAAAGAATAGAAAATAGAAAAAAAAGGCTAATAGAAAATATAAAGTTCTTAGTCTCTAACAGGCATCACAAACTGCTTTCCTTCCCAGCTTGTCTGCAGATGAATAGCTTTCTGCTTCTCTGTGGAGGCTGCATCTTTGTGTGCTTTCTAGA